GGGGGGGGGGAGCCGCCAACCTCGAACTTAAAACTTACACTCACTATTTTCTTCGAAAACATACGTGAGTTCCACAATATATTCCTAAACTGCAGATCACTCTACCAATTAGTTCATCATTATTTCTATTGATATCGGTTTATGAATTATTTTTAATAGATACAGACGTCGAAGATGTATTTAGTAATTTTTCTTGTGCTCGTATTTCCAGTTCTCGTTTAATTGTTTCTTGTTGAATAAGAAGTGGCAAACCAGGATTAAGATTTAATGTATATGGTGAAAGTGACTTTGATATCTCACCAAAGTCAACAATGGTTTTAATAAACATTGTATCATCACGAACATATGGATTGTTATCTTGTTGAATTATTGATAAAGGTACAAATTTAGGTATACCAGATGCAATATTCATATCTGAGCGAGGCCTTTGAAAACTATTGGATTTTGTATCTGGCCGAAATGAATCGATGATATGTCGTTGTTGAGGTGTGTGATCAAAAAGACAAAATGTTACTTTGTAGGAGAATGGAAATGGAAGGATTGCGTCATAATCCCCACGCATAAGAACAAAATATATAGACATATGGGTTCGTCTAGCATTGCCATCGCCGTTCAAATACAGACGAACTCGCATCTTATAACCAGTTGGTGATGAATAAAATGCAGGAGAATAAATAGATGTTTGTTGTTCACTTTGAGCATTAGCTAAAAAGTTATAGAATTGAAAAATTCTGTTATGATTCACTTATATTTTATTATAAGACTAATCGATGTTTAAGTTTTAAATGAAATTCGATGGAGAAAAACAACTCTCTCGTTTTTACAGACCTATTTTCTGTTGAAGATTTGTAATTTTCCAAATGAGTGTGCCATCAGTGGAAATATTCTTTTGATCTTCAATTTCTTGTTGACATGAAATCAGGCTTTCTTCAAGTATTCGTTGATTGACTTGATGAGCATCTCTCAATGAATGTGTTTCTTCAATAGCGATTTTCAACTTTGATAATTCTTCAGACATATTTCGCAGTGAAGTTTGATTTTGAAGTGACTCCGAGCAGAGATGTTGGTTATCATCATTTAAAGCTTGAATACTATCCATCACGGTATCCATTGTTTCATATAGTTCTTGAAAATTTTTTCGAGAAACTTCATCAGTTGTTAGTTTTGTACGAGAAGAAATTTCTGATTGATCGATTATTGGAGGTTGCGTCTTTAGGGGAAGAGATTCAAGTAAAGCAGTTTGATGTTGTTCGCTTAGAAAATGATCTTTGGCGATTATACGACGAAACTGAAAAAATTGTATTTTTTCATTAATAATAAAGGTAAAATAAAATTTTTTAAAATACCTGTTTATTACAGCCATATGGTTTGAGAATACAATCGACGATAGCTTCCTTACAAATAGATATATGTTTAGTGAGAGAATCAACTGTTTTGAATTCTTGGTTACAGTATTCACAGAAACAATTCGAATGAACCTTATTTAAATGTTCCTGCAAAATAGACAAATAAATTAACGATAGATAATAGAAAAGTCATCAAATAATATTACTTGATAGTACTTAAATGAACCATTCCAATCGCAAAAATAACAAATAATATTCAATTTTTCCATGTCAAGTTGACAACCTCTATCGAGAATTACCTTAAAAGTAGAACAAATGCATTAAACATACTTTTAAAGACAAAAGAAAGAGCTTATTTTATACCCTATCTCGAGATGTGATATTATCACAGACGCTGCATGCCACCATGAAACTTCAAATAGGAAAAATTTAATTTAAATCCATTACGAATTAAGAACAAAAAAAGCTTAATGGTGCTTACCCTGCCTCAACATTAAGGCATGATTGGCAAAATCGATGTCCGCATGACAGTTGAACGGGTTGCCGTAATAAAAATCTACATGCATTACAAACATATGTGTCTAGGGAACTTTTGTTTTTTATGTTGAAACCAACTTTTCTATTAGGATACTAAAAGAAAAACAAAATTATTATTTCAATAATACTAAGTTTCGATTTATTAATAATTAAATATTTACTCACGCATAAAGATAATTGATAATTTGACATTGAACTTTCATCATACTCGTGGTCCATTATAATGCTAAGATATAAAAAAAACAAATCTATTATATTATATTGTTCACTATAACAACAATTAATCGATAACTTTATATACAAATTTAGATAAATTCCCATAATTGATACTAATCTTTTAAAATTCATTTTTCATTATCAAGCGCATCGGAAGGGTGTGGATTTGGGTCTCAGTGTGTGTTTGTGGTGCAGGGGTGTAAATAAAAGCATGATACATACACTCCACACTCGCACCCACATCCACACCTACACACACGCACACCCACACTCTTATGTTACCTCTTCGAAAGTATTTATCGACTATAAAACGTTGTAATAAGAATAGCTGAATGTTATTACAATTACACAAGTGCTGTGCGGGTATTTATAATGTCACTATTTAATCAAGAAAAGAAATGAAAAAATCCAGTCACTTGCTTATGAAATTTACTTTCTCCCTCTGCAATCCATACTGTCACCTTTCGTTGCTTTCTTTCAAATCGACAACAAGGTATTTTTCCTTTACGTTGTTTTTGTGACTCTTTGGCAATTTCGATGCAATGAAAAATCGAGTTGGAATGTGGGTGTAGAAAAGAGAACTATACCCACACTCTTGAGTACTACCACCAGACACTCGAACAGTATCATCACCGAAGAACATCTAAGATATTGAAATAAAATTAAAAATATTAAAAGCTACACATCGTAAGTATAGCTAGAAACAAACTTCAGTATAACCATTCAAATGAATATATGAAATGGCGAAAAAATACTTTAAATAGCAAAGTGATATTTTTAAAAGTATCTTTTTTGAAAGGTTACAGTCAGAGGTTCGTCAGTGTTCTTTCCAACATAAATAGTCGTTGTTACCGCCCCAGTTGGGTTCCAGTGGTTCGAAAAATTGCACGCATTGCATGCCACTCACCAAACCTTGGTAGGACCAAGCAAATTCGACTGGAGAATCGCCCGGAACACAAAGCTGACTATCACACCAATTTGCATCCATAGGCTCGCTGAGATGTACACATTTGCTACCGTGCGGGGCGAGATTGGCATTGTTGCGGCGCCATTTATAGAAGGAGAGACCAATATTCTTATTGGTGCACACATAATTGTCTTCATAGCCACGTGGACTCGTTTCATCAATCAACACACAGTACCATCCATTGAGGGGACCTGATGAACTGAAGCGAAGGTACAGGGGCACGAAAGGACTGACGGCAGTTGCCGTAGTCATTAGCATCTGTGTTGTAAAACAGATTACCATGGGTAAAACAAGGAAGAAATGAAGCATACTGATGATATCAAGTATATAAAAAAAGTAGTCAACTTTCTGTACACTTCGTCTTATATACTTCCTTAGTTGACTGGACAATCTTTCGAGGAATAACAATTGTGTCATGTAAGCAAACATAGCTGTTGATTCTTAGACGTGCATTTAGTATAGTTCCTCAGTTAAATCAATGATTTTTCGCAGAGTAACGATTGTGTTACGTGAGTAAACACAGCTGTCGAATCTCATACATCGCTTTGTGTGCGTTCGATATGCACAGAGAAAGATAAAAGCTTATCAGTACATGTTCTTTAAAATTAAAAATATGGAACTCACATATTTTCTTTAGATGGATGTGGGTGTGGGTGATCACAAGATTGATATCCACACCCACACCCACACCCCACACTCACACCCACACACCCACACCCACACCCTACACCCCACACCCACACCCCACACTCACACACCCACACCCACACCCTACACCCCACACCCACACCCAACTTCTTCTATTGATTTCTAGATGTAAATATTGCTGGTTGACATCAAAACATTGACATGTACTATGATACAATGCTGTCAGCTAGAAATGAAGAAAATATTTTGATAAATCTTAATTCATACTCCTTGCAACGAAATCCTATTTAGTACCTTGAATTATGCGTGTTATTCTTCTATTCATAGATAGTAATGCTCATACACGCATAAACATTCATATTGACATCATATTGTTGAAGCAAAATGTTTGGTTTGTGAAACTAGAATCTGTATTTGCTATTAAAAGTCTTCATTTGCATCATGAAATACCACTTATTGGCAGAAAAGTCAATAAAAATACATCGTTATTGTCATTTTTGGTTTCTTCGTACCATGGTCTTACTACAGTTTTTTATAAATATATGTCAAATAAAATAGTAACTCTAATTCACGTTTTATCAGTCTCAATCTATCATCTTGCATTTTTCATATAGATTTTCACTAAACTAGGTCTCAAATGTAATCAGAACCCTCACAAAAAAATGTCGCATTAATAAATTGAAAAACAATAGTAACCTATTATTTTCTCTTAATTCTTTCAACAATCGACTTCGACATGAAGGAACACAACATGACGCTGATATTTCACAAGAAATATCTCGGACAATCAAAATCGCAGATAAAGGAATGCAACAATTGTCTGATGCATTACACAAAAATACTGTAATCATCATTCTCTATTAATATCTCTTTTAAAACCCATAATCTTCCAGATTAAGCGGTAGATATCTGGCAGAAATATTCATTATACTTATATTGTATACAATAAGAAAACAAGCACTCGTAAAACAGATGTTTCTTTTCTTCTGCATAGATCCTGCTGATAAAAAAAACATTATTTCATTGTTCATGATGAGATTAGTTCATCTTTCTTCTATATCTAATCCCACTTCGGAAAAGTGTACTCTGACTCCTGCTCAAGTTTTCCATAGTCAAAGTAAACATTGGGTATTAGCAACAACGATTATTTTTGTTTGAAGTTCTTTAAAAAATATAAAACATCCAGGATAGTCGTGCTTTCTGTTCTGTATTCGTCTCTGAGACGTACATTTTTTCCTTTGTTTTAATAGTATTCTTTTAGAAAATTTTAAAATCAACTTTAATTTGATTCCCTATTGAGTTAATCAATGCTTCTTATCTATCCAATATATTCACTTATCTAATACTGCTAAATATAAATTCATAAATTACATAAACGGAATGGTTATCATATGAAAAACGGCGTACAATAAATACATACTGTCACCTAGACGAAATGAATAATTAAATTGGAGATATCTATATTGACATCATGTGATATCTGTATTATAGATTCGCAAAGCTTTCGATAATTTATAACAATGATAGAAACCAAAATGTGACATTTAGATGCAAATTGTTGTGCTAAAAACACTATCTAGTAATACTTGGAAGATAAATTTTAGGTACATGTTCAACATATCGCACATAAGCTGAGAACATAAGGAAGCATTGCTTTGTCATAACACCACTCATCAGTAGATCTGCTCTCTTACTTCTATTATTATCAGCACAATGTTCAGAAGATATTTATTAAATGTAAAGATATAATCAGTCATAATCAATGACTACAATAGTTCTTTTTATAAATTCATTTAATCAATGGTAAATAATCGTATGCAACAGAGAATGTTAAATATTTTCTTTAAGAGTATGCTTATGGATGATTGTGACTGTGAATGCTCTCTTTATTACCATGTACGCTCATACTTTTATTTTAAATTGAAATTTTAAATTGAAATATTCGATGAAAAATGAATTTAAAATAATTTTTAAATAAAATAAAATAAAATTTTAAGATTTAACAACATTTTGTGCATGTAAATTCATCATCCTTAGTATATAGAGAAATATGACAAAGTATGCACAGATTAAAGAATGACTGTACGTGTGAATCTAGAAATGAAGAGAAGATTTACATTGACATTCTCTAGAAGATAAATAATTTTGACATAGTCGATGCGTCAATGTTTATCACTGAATACTGATGTCAGTAAAGACTATGTCACTGAATGTATCATTGCTGCAGTGAGCAGTGACATCCTGGTCATCAGCGTTCAATGAGTATCACCATCGATGTCGACAGTGTCAGTAGTTCAGTGTTTACACTAAGGCTGCACATCTCTACGTAATAAGCACAACCTTTTACATTTATAGTATTATTTGATTGATTGCTGCAGTGCGTTCATCACAGTTTGACATTTTAGACTTGAATTAAACGTGTCAAAAATTTATTTAATCAAATCTTAATAAGCTCCATATGTCATGCTAGTAAATACAGCTTTTAGAAGAATGAAATACTTATGAACAAGAAAAACAAAAAATTGTTTTCAAGTTAAAACCTATTGAAGAAACAATTTTTGATTTTAACTATCATTGTTTTGTTTACCCATCAACATAAGTATCAACATCGGAAAGCACAAATAGATGTACCAAAAACATATAAGAGAA